CAGGGATCTGACGGCTCGAGGTACAGATGACATCGGTTGCAAACCCGTTAGCGCTCAGCCACAGCACCGGCCGGCATGAGCACACAGGTCTGATCGGCTATGTTTGAGAAAAAACGAGAAATGAGAAAACGAGCTGGTTTCTTTTTTTTTTGGTTCATGTTTTTCTTTTTTTTAATCTCACATACATCCAGGTCCTGCTCGCCATTTTTCAGTAACTGCCCGACTCCTACAGAGAGGGCTCCAGAACAGGGCACTGGAGGTCCCCGCCCTGTGGCTCTGGTCGTCCCATCCGTGTGTCTCGCGCGTCGCTTCTGTGTTACAGCCACACTGAACCACACAGCACTGCCTCTGTCCTGCATCCTCCATCAGCCGGGTGGTTCTCTCCTGGTGTCTGAGACCGCTGTTCACTCCTCGCCCATGCAGTCCTCGCCAGCCCTGCCCTGCCCCGCCCCTCTCAGAGCAGAGTCATGTACTGGCTGCTTTCTGTTTTCATTCTGACCACGCACCGAACCCATGGGCACCCCCTGCTGTAGTCTGACCTCCTATAGACAGAGAGGCCTTTCGGGCAGGGGCTCGTCCGCCCCTGCAGCCCCAGGCCGACCCACCATGCCTCTGGCTGGGGCCGGTCTCTCCTCGTGGCGGGTGCTTCTAGGCGCTGCAGGCTCCCACCACAGCCAGGATTCTAGAGCTCCGAGAAGACTCTTGCATTGTGTGGGGGCTTTTCTGTTTGTTTTGTTTTGTTTTTGTTTTTGTTTTTGTTTTAATAAATTAGGGATGTGTCACATATTAACTTCCAGTTTTGATTTGAGTCATAAAAAAGAAAACATGGATGTATGTGAGATTAAAAAAAAGAAAAACATGAACCAAAAAAAAAAGAAACCAGCTCGTTTTCTCATTTCTCGTTTTTTCTCAAACGTAGCCGGTCTGAAAGTACTGCTGACCGCAGCGTCAGACCGCGAGGGGAAGTGTGCCCGTCTCACTCTCGACCTTTTCTCCCCAGTTCAGCTCCCTGGCCCAGCACCTAACATCCGCGCACACGCAGCGTCTCCCACGTCCATCACTGTCACGTGGGAGACGCCGTTGTCTGGCAACGGGGAGATCCAGAATTACAAGTTGTACTACATGGAAAGAGGCACCGAGCGAGAACAGGTGTGAAACGAAGCCATTTTCCAAACCATTGATCGAAAAAGTACCGTCGAAATATTGTTCCAAAACTCAGCATTGCTCAACTGGACGTCTGAGGGGGAAAGAGGTGGACAAGAAACGAGAAGCTGAGGGATTCCATTTTTTGTACTAAGATTGATTTTGTCATTTATACCAGCAAGAGTCAGTAAACACCAAGAGAGATTTCTAGCTAAATTGTCACCATTGATGATTAACCTGCTGTGATTGTTCAATAACATTCTGTAAAGGGAATAAAAACCCAGGGGCCAGCAGGTGACATGGTGGTTGGGGCGCTGGACTCCCACATGGCCAACTGCAATTCAGGTCCTAGACCAGGTGATTTGAAAATCACACCAGGCGTGTGTGTGTGTGTGTGTGTGTGTGTGTGTGTGTGCGCGTGCGCACGCCCCAAGCCCAGGAGAACAGAGGAGGGATTGTGACATGGCCATCCTTCCTAGCAGGTGATTTCTCTTTCCCCCTCACCGCCTCTGCCTATCTCTGGCAAAACCTAACATTTTTAAAAAGTGTATAGAATGTGTAGCGTGGCCAGGTCTCTGCTCTGTGGAGTTGCATGCAGCTCCCGTTGCGTGTACATACAATGTTTTGTTTTATCCAAGGACGTTGACGTCTCGAGTCTCTCCTACACCGTGAACGGGTTGAAGAAATACACAGAGTATAGCTTCCGAGTGGTAGCCTACAACAAGCACGGGCCGGGCGTGTCCACGGAAGACGTGGCTGTTCGAACCTTGTCAGATGGTGAGTTTATCTTCTTTGAACCAAGTGGCTTGAAAATCACACCCACTGCGTGTGCGTGCAAGCTCGAATTCCCAGGAGGAGAACGGAGGAGACGGGCCCCTCGTAGAGAGGTAGTAAGGTCACGGGCTTTGACGTCAGGAAGGTTCTGTTCACATCTGAGCTTGTCCTTCCCGGTTGCATGACTTCCGTCGAGTTGTTCAACACTTAGGCGTACCTTCCTTCCAGACAGAGCTGTGTGCTGTCAGACTCAGTGAGCGAGCCTGGCACTGACCAGGTTCTCGGCGTTCGTATTTCAGTGGCAGCTTACGTGTATATGAACACTGCTGCGTGTTCCTGGTACAGGCCATTCCAGGGCTGTTGGAGGCTCGTCCCCTCCACTAAGCCCTTCCAGGGCTGTCGGAGGCTCGTCCCCTCCACTGAGCAATTCCAGGGCTGTTGGGAGGCTCGTCCCCTCCACTGAGCCATTCCAGGGCTGTCGGAGGCTTGTCCCCTCCACTGAGCAATTCCAGGGCTGTCGGAGGCTCGTCCCCTTCACTTAGCAGCCAGGTGCACTTGCCACATCCGTCGTCGTGCCTCCTCAATGTTTGTGGCACTTTTCTTTCTCACCTGGGACTGAATCTTCAGAGAGTTACATACATGTACCTGTGACCCTGAGCTGTGGTATGTGCAAAGCCACTGAGGACGGAAGCCTGACAGCTCTTTCCTATTTCTAAAACCCCTTGCAGAGGGCCTGGAGTGAGTCACACCCACAGACATTAACAGGCCAGTTTGGCCCATTTGATAACAGAAATCCTCCTGTCCTGCCCCGGCATAGTACCCTGTAGTGGGTGAGTCGCGCCCCGTCATGAACGCACACTGGGACTCACTGACGACACCCTGTGTTCGGGACGGTGTCCTCAGCCCGGCTGAAGTACGCCCTCCACTAATCCCCGGCGAAGGGCCCCCCTCCACTAATTCCTTCCCAACCTACAAGCCCCGCTCCCACATGGCCGCCTTTCTGGGCCAGCCCAGTGGAAAGCTTGTCACTAAACTCTCTCGCTCTCAGAATCAAGTAAAAGGAACCGCTGGGCCTGATCACCCCGAGAGAGAGGCCTGTTTTGCCGCATCTCCGGGTCTGTGTCGCACAAATTCGTGCTTAGAAAGAAACCTCGTTAACGATGACCTTTTCAGAGCTGGCCGTTTCCGTCACACCACAGATGGTGCCGGTCAAGACCAGCGTTTACAAAATATATTGGGTCATCGGGGAAGTCAGATGCATTTTCACGTAGACAGACGTAGAAAGGCACGCCATGACTTTCCCGATGACTTAATACCGTGTTAGAACGGGGCAGAGAACATCAGCGGTCACTGCTTAGTTCATGAGACTCAGGTAACTGCTATTTTACAACGATGCCTTCTACAAACGCGTGTATGCCGCCAGTCAGGTGACAAGTGGCTCGGGCGGCTGGACCCCACAGAGCTGGCTGTACGGTTCACATCCCGGACCTGGAGGCTTGGAGTAACATGCCAGAGGCTTGGATGTGATACTCACAATCTCAGTGGAGGGGAAGGGACTGCTGTGTGGCCATTCCCCCAGGGTGATTTCTCACTTTCTCGCTCGCTGTCTGGCAAGAGCACATGCCCTAAGCAAAAGTGAAAAACAAGAAAAGCCGTGTGTGTGCATACAGCCCGTTTATACGCAAGCTCAGTGCACGTCAGTGGCCACGCCTAGCTGACCCTGTGTGCCTTCTGGTGTGACAGACGAGAAAGACGGCCACACTGCTCTTGGCTCCCTGCCAGGCACGGTTAGCGAGTGGGCAGCCATGATGAAACAACCAGACACATCCAAACTGAGGGAGGTCCTGCGAAAAATAAAACTGTAATTTAGAAAGACTGACCTGGATTCTTAAAATATATTAGTCCTATGAGAAAAAAGGAAAAGCTTGGGGCATCACTCTTGAATCTAAATAAAAGAAAACACGTCTGGCCTTCAACAGGCCCTAGATCTGGAGGCACAAACAGCGACAGGCCCTGTTGGTCCGGTGAGGTGGCTGTGTATAGTGACAGGTGATGTTGTCAGGCATTTCGTGTGCTTCTGTGTTGAGATTGCACTGTGAATGTGACCGATGTGTTGTGGTTTTGTCAGAGGAAGTCCTCGTTGTTAGGCAGTACCAGGGACACACATCAAAGTCCAAAGGAGTGAAGCCCTGGGACCACAGCCGTCTCGGATCATTGGGGAACAGCATTTATCCCAATCCGTGTGTGGTGTGCAGAAAGCTAGCATCTGGTCATCCAGGAGAAGAATGTATACAGTGCTCATTTTACTGTTCTTGCCACTCATCTCTTTGGGCTCAACATTTTCCAGGCTAAGAAGTTGGAAAAAAGGAAAAAGTAGAAACTGTAACTTGGCCAGCCAGCTGCAAACGTTGCTAAGGTTGTTTTTTTGTTTTTTGTTTTAAGTTGAGAAAACAGGCCAGCAGGCGATATGGTGGTTGAGGGCACTGAGCCTCCCACATGGCTGACCATGGTTTGAGTCCCGGACCTGGGGGCTTGCTTTCTTTCCCCCTCCCCCCCACCCCCGGTCAAATTAAAATTAATTAATTAATTAAATGAAGTTCAGTATTTTTAATTCTAAAAAAAATAAATAAGTTGAGGAAAATGCTTCTTGCAGGTGTTTCATTCTACACGAGCCCGGCAGTAACGGCTAAGTGGGCTGGCGTTTTGACCCCACGTGCCTTGGCTTGGTGGTCACAGCAGCGCTCAGGAATGAGGCTGAGCGTGGCTCTTTGCCAGCTGAGATGAATACCTTGTCCGGTTAAATGCCCGGGCCTCGTCTGTACTTCCGGTCTATGAAGTGGGGATGATAACAGACTCCTCGGTGTGGCTGTGAGGGTGAAGTCCTTGTGGGCTGGTGAGCAGGTGGCGTATCTGGCTTCGAGGACCGTGATGCCGACAGCAGCAGTGGCTATGTTGGGTGTCCCTGCCACTCAGTTCTTAGTGGGAGATGGTTGGGGAGTCCTTTGCGGACTATTCAAAACACAGGTGCCACGGTCCCCCCGGACCCCCTGCACCCAAATCTTGGGGTCGAGGCCTGGGCTCGTTGCTAGGCATGCGTCATAACAAAGAGCAAGCTGTGTCCTCTGCCTCCCAGCAGCTTCAGCACCATGGGCTCTTACACCGCGTACCTGGTCACTGAGTGACGAAGGAAGAGGATCCCATAGGTGTCCGGGGGAAAGGCTGGCGTGAGTGTTGTGAGTGGGCAGAAACTTAATCAAGGCCTAGTTTTCCCCACCTGCTGTTGTCACGACGAGCAGAGATGCTGGAACGTGTGTGGCCACAGCTTGGAGGCAGCCGTGCCATGGCCCAAGGCAGGGAGCTGGCTGAGCAGCTGCGTCTCAGCAGTCCCGAACTTGCACGTCTGAACGAGTGCTCCGATGCCTCGGGAAGCCAGACGGTGCACGTTACGGAAGCCACCTTGCTCACACATCTCTGCCCTGCTTGAGACGCGCCGTGGAAGCTGGCTGGGGCACCCCAGACCCGTAACATCGTTACCCACTTCAGTCACTTGCTGTAGTCGTTAAACTCAGTTCCAGAAAATGTGTGGCTCTTGCCCAAGGTAAAAAAGAAAGTCACCAAGAATAGTCCAAAGCAAACCTCAGAGGTTCGGAATATACCTGGATCTAGAAAAGCATGGAATCCGTGCAAGTCCCAGTCCTCCATCCCCGTGGAAATGAATATCTAACTTCTCCAAGATGCATGGGACTCTGTGTGGGTGCATCCCCTTCTGAAGGTGTCTTCTTTTAAAAAAACAACTGCCCCGGCATGCCTTCTCCACCGGTGCTGTCACTCCAAGGGCCTCAGACCCGAGGGGTGGTTAGACCTCTGGCGGTGTCGGCGGTGTCTGAGGAGCATTTCTGTGTGAGGTCTGGCTGAGGACCGTAGCATGGTGGGTGATTAAAACTTTTTTCCCCCTTCCTTTCCCCCCATCTAGTTCCCAGTGCTGCTCCTCAGAATCTGTCCTTGGAAGTGAGAAATTCGAAGGTAAGCTTCACAGGGCCTCTATTGTGTTGTTGTCCGTTGAGCCCCTCAGGCTTAGAAAGCAAGGTTCTGTGAGGACGCATCAGAACAAACGATGCTTCTAAAAATACTACACCTCTTGGGGCCAGCAGGTGGCGTGGGGGCTAGGACAGCTGGGTCCCACATGCCCAACTAAGCAATTTGAGTCCTGGACCCAGAGGCTTGAAAATCACACCAGGCATGTGTACCTAAAATCCTGAGAGGAGAATCAAGGAGAAGGAATTTCAATCCCCCTGGGGGTGCTTTCTCACTTTTCTCCTTTCTCTCTGTCTCTGGTGAGCGTATGCAACCTATAGCAAACTAAACCAAAAAAATGCTGAGCCTATAAACCAGAACTTTAGTGAAAACTGTTCAAATGAGACGGAGAAGTAAGACTGCATAGAATTACACTCGCCCGTAAAGATGAGCTTAGAAACCAACTTGCTAAGGGCCAGCAGGCAGTGTGGTGGTTAAGGCACTGGACTCACGCATGATAAACCATGGTTTGAGACTCGGACCCGGCACGTGTACATACATGCCCAAGATCCTGAGAGGAGAGCGGAGAAGGGATTACACCATGACTATCCCCTGGGGATGATTTCTCGCTTTCCCTCTCTCCATCTCTCTCTCTCTGGCAAGTACATGCACCCTATAAGGCAAAACCTTAAAAGAAAAGAAACTGAGTCACTGATTCTATGTAACCCACTTCCTTCCTCTGATACCAAAACTACTTCACCCCTCCCATAAACAGTTCCTGTTAGGTAAAGCATGGGCTCCAGTGTCAAGTGTGCAGACCTGGGTGAGGTGGCAGAGGAATAGGCTGTTCTACCCTGGCCTTTGCTGTGGCATGAGGCAGAGCCAGATGCCTGCCAGGCTGGCCGTATCTGCCCCAACCCCTCCTGGCCAGACTTGCTTTGCCCGCGGGGCCCTGCCTCGCACAGGCCAGTGCCCCACAGGGCCACATAGACAGCTGAGACACTCAGTCTTTCCCCGAATCCTGTAGGACTCTTTCCACACTAAGAAACACCCAACTAACTCATGATCCCCTTCTGGAAGCGTTTTGGCTAGGAATTGTTTAATTGCAGCTGCTCCCCACTAGAGGTGGGAAAGTCTTGGTACTCGACAGTAGCTTATGTCCTGGCCATGGGCCGCTGCCTTTCCATCGTCCTGAAATCTCTGGATTCCTGGGCCCAACATCTTCATTCTGGCAAAGTCCCAAGGGCAGGGCTTCAAGGTGCACTGCTCATAGCCCGCCTGATCGCTGAGGTGCTGGAATCTACACAGGGTCTGAGCTGTGTCCCTCCTTGTACACAGCGAGACCAGGGAGGTCTTTCATAAAGCTGTCAGGACCCAGCTTCGGTGCAAACCATCCCAGCTGTGAGGGCAGTGAGGACAGGGCACAGGGACCGTCCCGGCTGTGAGGGCAGTGAGGACAGGGCACAGGGACCGTCCCAGCTGTGAGGGCAGTGAGGACAGGGCACAGGGGGACTGTCCTAGTTGTGAGGGCAGTGAGGACAGGGCACAGGGACCGTCCCAGCTGTGAGGGCAGTGAGGACAGGGCACAGGGACCGTCCCGGCTGTGAGGGCAGTGAGGACAGGGCACAGGGGGACAGGACACAGGGGGACTGTCCTGGTTGTGAGGGCAGTGAGGACAGGGCACAGGGACCGTCCCGGCTGTGAGGGCAGTGAGGACAGGGCACAGGGACCGTCCCAGCTGTGAGGGCAGTGAGGACAGGGCACCAGGGACCGTCTCGGCTGTGAGGGCAGTGAGGACAGGGCACAAGGAACGGCCTGGCTGGGGGGGCAGGGGGATGAGGGGAGGGAGGACAGGGCACATGGACCGGCCCAGCTGTGAGGGCAGTGAGGACAGGGCACCGGGGACCGTCTCGGCTGTGAGGGCAGTGAGGACAGGGCACACGGACCGTCCTGGCTGTGAGGGCAGTGAGGACAGGGCACACGGACCGTCCCGGCTGTGAGGGCAGGGCACCATCCCCAGCTGCGTCTGCATCTAGTCCTTTCTGTCTGATCTGGTCTCTCGCAGAGCGTTATGACTCACTGGCAGCCACCTCCTCCAACCACACAGAACGGGCAGATCACCGGCTACAAGATCCGCTACCGAAAGGCCTCCCGGAAAAGTGACTTTGCCGAGGCCTTGGTGCCTGGGACACAGCTGTCTCAGCTGATTGAAGGTAGGCTCCTGCACGCCGGCCGAGGGACGAGACGGCGTTTCTCAGAGAGCCACGTGTGCCGCTCAGACGACTGCCGAGCCGTTGACTGACCAAACAAATTAAAAACAGTTCCAAGAAAGTTTTAATGCCTCAGCCCTGATTCACCAACGGGAAGCAGGCCTAAGGCCCCACCTCCGCGTGCCGGGCTCCCCCTCGGTGTGCGTGTCGGGGAACCGTGCGCTTTATCGGCGGCTGGGAGGTGAAGTTGTACCAAGGAAAGGCTGGAGGTGCTTCCTCCGCAATCGCAGTGTCTACGTGTAGGCAGTCTGTTGGCCAGTACATGTCTAGGCTGTATTTGGGGTTTGGAGGGTTTCCTGGCGTTCTGAGAAGAGGCCGCCCAGGTCCCACAGCCCTGCTTTCCTTCTGAGTTTTGTCCTTGTTTTCTGAGACCATCCAGCCTTGTCCCTTGGTTGGCCCTCTCGTCCTTTGTAACACACTGAAGGGGGTTGTCATAAATAATCTCCAAGGTGCCTCAGACCCTATAAAAAAGCCTGTAACCCCTGGGAGCACACGTGTGTGTTGCGTGTTCCGTGGTCGCTCATACGTGACCACGCCGTGCCCTGAGCTGGACCTGATGTCCGTGCCAACGAGCGGGCCCACCTGTTTCCCTGAGCCCCGTTACAGCTCTTCCCGTCCTTCGGGTCTCAGGTCTCGATCGGGGCACCGAATACAACTTCCGGGTGGCCGCTCTGACCATCAATGGGACCGGCCCGGCGACCGACTGGCTGTCGGCTGAGACTTTCGAAAGTGACCTCGACGGTAAGAGTGGCTGCGGTCTCACGCGTCGCCTGCACAGCTCTGGCTTGGTCAGGCTCCGGGCATGTGTGGTCTGAAGCTGTGAGCTGAGCTGCAGGTGTCGCTGCCGCTCCTGGAGTGCAGCAGGACTCCTGCAGTGAGGTTGGCAGTGGCTTTAAAATAGAATCAACCCTCTAGGCAGAAACAGGACAACTGGGCAGGTACGGGGGCTCTGGCCAAGGCTGCTCAGTTAGTGGGTGCTCCCAGACTGAAGGCTGAGCCCCACAGGTGTAGCTTCGTTCCCCACGGCAGTGTCCCGTTTCCCTCTGTCCTGGACATGGGCCGGCCTCACCTGTGTGCTCAGCGAGTACCTCCACATGGGTGCTGTGTAGCCCTAGGAGGAGACAGGGGCCGGGTGGCCCTCCCCGAGGATGGTGCAGAGTTCTAAAGGACACCAGATCTCATCTCCCTTTTCCGTTGCCCTCCCAGAGACTCGTGTTCCAGAAGTGCCTAGTTCTCTTCACGTCCGCCCCCTTGTCACGAGCATCGTGGTCAGCTGGACTCCGCCAGAGAACCAGAACATCGTGGTCCGAGGCTACGCCATCGGCTACGGCGTCGGCAGCCCGCACGCCCAGACCATCAAGGTGGACTACAAGCAGCGCTATTATACCATCGAAAACCTGGGTGCGTCTCGGAATGGGGGAGCGGGCGTGCCCGTGCCTTCTCTTGAACCCCCATCGTAATGATTCCAGTTCTACAGGAAAGTTACGAGAACAATACAGAGAGCCTGTGCTTTCTCCCCCAGGCTCCCCGAAGGGCTGCCGGCTAACCACGTAGCCGGACCGTTCCCTAGCTCCCCGAACCAGCTGAGAGTGAGCGCACACGCGGTGCCTCTGCTCCCCTAGACCTTCAGGGCGCGGTTCCGGGACACTTCTTCTGGACAGGACACTTAGCAACTCATGCAGTGAAGGGAACCAGTGTCTCTGGGCTCCTCCTCCCGCCCTCTGCTTCCCACCCAGCATCACCCGTCACACACCACATTACGTCACCATTAGTTTCCTTCGGACGGAGCAGTTAGTTCCTGTTTCTTCCTGGACTTCGTGTCTGGCGTTTTTGAAAAGCACAGGCCATTTGTATTTTGTAGACTGCGTCTCAGTTTAGACCTGCCGCCATCTCCTCGTTACACGGAGGCTGTGCCTTTGGGGAAGGTGGTGTGGAGTGTGGGGTTCTCAGTGCATCTGATCAGGAGGCCTCGGACAGCCCGTTGCTGGGGACAGTTACTTTAATCACGTGATTAAGCACGTCCACGGGACCAGGTCTTCTCTCTGGAATTGGACTTTGCCTGGGCCAGGACTGACGGATAGCGTCTTCCCCATTCATCTCAGCCAGGAGGAGAGCGAACGTCAGGCCAGCAGGTGGCATGGCGGTTAAGGCATCCATCCCACATGGCCAGTAGCGCAGTTCAAGTCCTGGACCCAGTGGCTTAAAATACACGCCAGGTGCATGTGCATACATGTCCACAACCCCGAGGGGAGAGCAGAGGAGAATTTGCAGTGTGGCTGTCTCCCCCCACGGGGCTGGGGGGGTGATTTTTCATTTACTTTCTCTGTCTCTTTCCAGTGAACACATGCGCCCTACATCAAAAATCTTAGAAAGAAAGGAAAACAAATTATTAAGAAAAATTATAGTGAGGATTTTTAAAAAGCGCTTTAACTTTTCCCTTCAGATCCCAGCTCTCACTACGTGATTACCCTGAAGGCGTTCAACAACGTGGGCGAAGGCATCCCGCTGTACGAGAGCGCGGTGACCAGGCCCCACACAGGTGAGGCCCGTCTGTCCCTCCCCGTCAGTGGTCCTCCCCACAGCTCGCAGATCGGCCTGGGCCCACCCCGCGGGGGTCGGTGGAAGGAAGAGAAAAGCGTAGCACGGTGTAGGGTGCAGACTTCATGTGGAAAAACGGGCTCGTGCCCTGGGCCCACAGCCCTCGCTGCTTTCGCTCTTATCTGGCCCCGGCAGTGATGCGCAGGGAAGGGGTCTGCTGCCTCTGACGTGAGACAGCACGGGCGTGGACGTGGCTTTCCACCGCTGCACACGGACTCGGAAAGCCCAGGGAGCCCTGTCGTGGGGGCCCACAGTAACCACAGCCTTTGCCTTTCTGACTACTGCAGTAGCTGCGGCAGATAGTCCCTCGTGGGGACTCGAGACAGAACAGTGCCATGGGGTTCCTTCTGCCATATTTGGTGTGAGCCATCTTGCCTTTAGACCCCAGGGTCAGCAGGTCCAGCTTGACATGCGAGTGGGTGTTGGATATCCCAGTACCAAGGCCAGGCAGAAGTGCCGTTGTGACATTTCAGGCTGAGTGAGAGCGGGCCCCTCATGTCCAGTGATGAGATCCAACCACAGCCTCCAGACTGACTGCGAACTAGCTGCAAGCTATTTAGAAATTCTGCCCGAGTTTAAAAGCATGACCCTTTCTAGATAAGAAGTAGAGTTTCAGGTATTTAGTTTTTGCCATAGGTCATGTGCTCTTGTCAGAGATAAGGAGGGAAAGTGAGAAGTCACCCTCCAGGGGTGGCCTCGCTATAGTCCCTTCTCCGTCCTCCCCTTGGGATTTCGGACACACAGGTGCACAGGTCCGACATGGTTTTCAAGCCACTGGAAGTAGGACTGGGAGGAACCGTGCAGTCAGCTCTCTGGGATCCAGCACCTTAACCTCTGTGCCGCCTGCTGGCCCCCAAATTTTAAGTCATTTTAAGAAAACTCAAGCGTAAAAATAATCACTGGGTTATCACATTCTGATAGGCCTGTAAAATGCAGCAGAAGTGTAGCCAGTTACTGCTCTTCTCAGCATTTTCCTGCAGGTTTTCCCTGAGAGAACGCTAGTGGGAATACGCCTCTAAAGAACTGGTAGTTACCTATTAACTCTGGATTTTCTTTCTTTTTCTCCATTTCTCACTTTTCATCCCATTGTATTACCTTGCGTTTCCTTTTTCTTTTCTTTTCTGTTCATGTTAAAATGCCACTCCCTTTGATTACTTCCGCCCAGACACTTCCGAGGTTGATTTGTTTGTTGTTAATGCTCCATACACCCCAGTGCCAGATCCTACTCCCATGATGCCACCCGTGGGGGTTCAGGCTTCCATTCTGAGTCACGACACCATAAGGCTCACGTGGGCGGACAACTCGCTGTCCAAACACCAGAAGATCACAGACTCCCGCTACTACACCGTGCGCTGGAAGACCAACATCCCAGCCAACACCAAGTACAAGGTACTGCACGTCCACTCTGGGGGCAGCCGACCGCCGGGCCCGCTCTTTCTGAAGTTCTCCATTCACGCTTTTCCAGAACGCAAACGCAACCACGCTGAGTTACCTGGTGACTGGCTTAAAACCAAACACACTCTACGAATTCTCTGTGATGGTGACCAAAGGTCGGAGGTCGAGCACGTGGAGCATGACAGCCCACGGGACCACCTTTGAGTTAGGTACGTGTGGTCCGAACCCCGTCGGGACATTTGCTCCCTTTGTGAGATAGAAGGCCGGTGTGAGTCCACGGGACCACCTTTGAGTTAGGTACGTGTGATCTGAACCCCCTCAGGGGACATTTGCTCCCTTTGTGGGATAGAAGGCCGGTGTGAGTCCACGGGACCACCTTTGAGTTAGGTACGTGTGGTCCGAACCCCCTCAGGGGACATTTGCTCCCTTTGTGAGATAGAAGGCCGGTGTGAGTCCGTGGGGAGGTCACACCTCAGCTGGTCCAGAGACTCTGTCACCCACTCACTGCCCAGGGAGGCTGTTGGAGGCTGAGTTGATGCATTTATAGAACACAGCCAGCAACTACGTCTAGAGTTTAGTGGTCACCTTTTTTTAAAAAGAATTATTTACTTAATTTTATTTAATATTGTAATTTTTTTTTTAATTTGCCATCGGGCATGTGTGCTCACCAGAGATAGAGAGAAAGCGAGAGGGAAAAGGAGAAAGCAGTCCTCTCTGTCCAAGACAAACCATGATCAGCCATGTGAGAGTCTGGTGCCCCAGTCACCCTGCCACCTGCTGGCCCCTGTGGTAGCTATTTCAACTGGCAATTTGTGACTTTCTCGTCACTGCACAGCGATATGATCATCATATCCTGCAGAGCACAGAGAGGTTAGGAACCAGGGGTCTGGAGCTCCCGCCCAGGCACCACCTGCTCTGTGGTCAAGAGCAGGCCGCCTACCCTCTCTGTGTCCGGTTTCTTTCTCTGCAGAAGGGAAGCCATTGTCTTACCTTTCCCTCGTTATGGAGTAGTCATGGGGCGAAGGGAGCAGCAGGGGGAGCTCTGTGGGGGTGTCCTTCATCCTGCTTCACTGGTAAACTGAGAGAGCTGCAGGGACCCGCCCGAGCTTGAGCCAGTGCCAGTGGTGTGCTTGTGATGGGCAGATACTTTGAGAGGTGATCCCCAAGTGGCTTCTATAGTTTTAGTGCAAACCAGTTAGCACCGTGTCAAGTGTGCCACCGAAGTCTCGGTAACGTTTTTTGGTTAGTGGACGAGAGGCAGAGAGATGGCTCAGCAAGTGAGGGGAGGGCAGCCTTCTGGACTTGAGATGCAGTTTGCTCACTTATCAGTCTGTTCTTCTGCCTCTTGGGCTTTCCTGGCATGGGGACGTGTGTGACCAGTGGGACTCTGTTCTGGCCTCCTGGATAATGAAAAGCAGAGTTACAGGTTCTCCAGAGACTGGGCTTGCTGTTGGTGTCATTTTTGTCCTTTGTCCAGGTAGTTGGACTCCTGCAGAGAAACGGTTGGATTTGGAGAGTTGGAAACAGTATGTGGAAGTCGAACTGGACCTTGAGCTTGCTTTGCCAGCATTATAAAAATACCTTTTTACCGTATTTCCAACCCATTAGCTAAAACATGGGATTGCATTTTCCTTTAGGATGTATTTTACCAAGCTCCTTTGCATTTCTCTAAGAGAAGTTCAGTGTTTTAGGAAGAGAAGAATAAACTTAAGAATGTACTTAATTTGCTCATTTCCTATTAATAGAAGCACAAGAAGCCTGCTGTCATTTTTTTAATGGCAGGGAATGCATGTGCGTACATGAGAGAGGGGTTTCCCCCAGCCTGGTCATCCTGCAGTCCCTTTTCCTCCAGTTCTCCATCCTGTCAGGATCCTGGGCACGTGTATGTGCTGGGCATTTTCAAGACACCAGGGCTGGGACTCAAACTCTGGGATCTGCTTCCTGTGGGGTTTGGCATATCCTTCTCGTACCGGCGCATTCAAAGCCAGGAGGCTCTCCCGTTTGGGGTTTGGGCTCTGCGCTGCACCTCAGATGGGCGGGGTTGAGCATACTCTGGCTCACAGCAAGTGTTGTTGTTTCGTAGTTCCTACTTCTCCACCCAAGGATGTGACCGTCGTGAGTAAAGAGGGGAAACCCAGGACCATAATCGTGAATTGGCAGCCTCCCTCCGAAGCCAATGGCAAAATTACAGGTGAGAAGACTCGCAGCATGTGCCTCTGTGCCCGGTCCTCCTGGCAGAGGCGTTCCAGGAGAGGAGTGTGGTCATTTATGGGGTGGTGTGCAGCACGGTGGTCCCCGAAACTAGAGCAGGATATGCTTCTTGCCCACAGTAGCAGGACAGCAAGTTTCTGGCCTTGCGCCACCTGCAGGTCTGGCAGGCATGGGCACACGGACGCCTCAGGCTGCAGCGTGGCTTCGCGGGTGACATGCTTGTGCTGCTCAGAGAGCTGTTCTTCCCTGCCTCTGCCCTGACCAGCACGCAGTCAGCCCTGCCGACGCTGCAAGGAAATACTCAGTAATCAGTCCGCTCTGTACCTCGGGCCCAAACGTCCCGTTAGGCTTTTAATTCCTTCCCCAGACCTGCTGTTTTAGGCTCCTGGGTTCTTCCAGCTAAGGTCAGAATCTGAAGAGGCCTAGACCTTTGACAGGACCTGGACTTCCCCCTTAAACACACGGGGAAAGTCTTCCACAGTGGCTGCCCCAGCCTCGCCACGGAGGGAGCGCCTGAGATTGGCTGCTGCTCCCCTTCCCTTCCGGCCAGTGCTCCTTGGAGGTGGCGAGGAAACGGCAAGCATTTCTTGACGCCGTCCTGCTCCTAGCCTTCCAGGGAGTCCCTTTCCATATATCCTGGTCTAAATGTCCTTTTCTTTTTTTAGCTTTTGACTTGGTCTCTTGTAAAAGAGTCAAGCTTGGCTTGACCCGGATCCCGTTTTACCTTGTCTCCAAACCGCAGCCACACTTGGGGTCAGATGGGCTCTTAGCTGTGCTGCCTCCTGCCTCAGCCTGGGGCTCGAGTGACCCCTGGGGGAAGGCTCGGGTGACAGTTTGCTGTGGCTTCACCTCCCCTGTCTGGGAGAATGAGGTTGCTATCTATCACCCAGGAGTTCTTCTTTGAGGAAATCAAGTTGGTGAGCATTAAAACAGCACGTCAGGCTACGTACTAGTTTCCAGAGTAGTGTTACTCGGACAGCCAACTCCCAAAGGTGCGCCGTTCATGTGCTCTGACGCCCGTGGGGGGCAGCACGCAGCTGTGGGCTTACTGACGCAGAGGAAGGACGGCAGTGAGTGGTGTCCTCCTTGTTCCGCGGACAGGCTACATCATCTACTACAGTACGGACGTGAACGCGGAGATCCACGACTGGGTCATCGAGCCCGTGGTGGGCAATAGGCTGACGCACCAGATCCAAGAGTTAACTCTCGACACGCCCTACTACTTCAAGATCCAGGCCCGCAACTCCAAGGGCATGGGGCCCATGTCCGAAGCCGTCCAGTTCAGAACTCCGAAAGGTAAAGCTCCAAGCGGAGGGTTTGTCATTGCCTCTGTGGGGCTGTGCTTACCCGTACCCCTCAGCATGCAGAGACCAGGCCTGGCCCAGGAAAGTAGTGAGGGGCTCTCTGGGAGTGATTTCTCATCCGTTGCCGACGCTGGGTCTGTGATCGCCCGGTTCCGGCCTCACCGTGTCATATGCATGGGATCTTTGGTCCCGGCTGTGTGGGGCCGGGGGATTATAGTGGTCTGAGATTTTACCAAATCAGATCAGATGGGATTCCCTCGATTCCTTGGGTCCCGCACAGAGTAATATTGAAGCACGTGATTGTGGTGGGTGGTTCTTTGCACATGTGCAAGCTCTTAACCCGAAAGGCTGATTCGGGGCCTCTGTAGAGAACGAGACTCAGGGGCCTATTCAGTGAAACTCCAGGTAAGAAAAGGAGGGTAAAATACTGAGCCAGGTGAGCTTCGGCTAACACCATGTAGTCTGGGACCAAGACTGGGGAGGTGTGGAAACCCTGTATGGATTTTATGGTTCGTCTTAAAAGCAAGATTTAATTTGCTTGAACGTTTGTGTGGGTTTTATTTTTTTCCCCTTTAAAAATTCTGCCTGTCCGTCTTCAATTGTGACCCTGCTCTTGTTTTTTCTTCCCGTGCTTGGCCTGTTAGCGGACTCCTCTGATAAAATGCCTAATGACCAAGGTAAATGAGCAGACAGCCTCTTTCCTCTCCTCTTTCCTGACCTATTCGTAGCTTCGGTTTTTGTTCCTTTCTTCCTTCGTTTTAACTGAAAACCAGTACCGTGTGTTAAAAACCACGTATTACTAGCCAAAGTCGAGTCGAGGCCGTGTCTGTGGCACTTGGGGTATCTGAAAAGCTGGGAATGTGAAGGGAAGGAGACGGGCAGGAGGAAATTGAGCCGGCTGGACTGAGTCCTGCCACTGTAGGAGTGGCCTGAGTGTGGTCAGGTTATCCCTCATGCTGAGCTCCTGGCGCTTGGAGCAGGGACGGCACTTGCCTTGTCGTGGGGCCCTCACACCCAGGGTCGCTACCATAGCACCCAGCTGATTAGCGTGCCTAAGTGACACGTCCACGCTTACCCTGCTACTGTAGACTGTGCGTCTCCGTGGCCACATCAGTGCCACACTCCGAGCTGTGCTTCCGTCCCTCCCTCTAACACAGCTGGTCATCCTAAAGGGCAGAGAAGCTGTGCGGAATGGGGGCTCGGGGACTGTGGGCCTGGCTGTCACCATCTTGGCACCACTGCCCGCCGTCGGCGCTGCTGCTGTGACGGGAGGACAGGAGCTGAAGCTGATCCTCTGGTGTAGACAGAACACGGAAAGCGAATAGGGTCGTTGCTCCATGGCTTAGGAGTAGTTGTTAGAAGTTCAGGTCTTTGGGTCTTGGCTAACGAGGTGTCAAGTTTCAGAGCTTCGAACCATGTTTGCATTCGGTGAAGCTTTCGCTGTACACTGGAGACACTGCAGATGCGTGTGTGTGGCCACGCGAGGGCTTAACTGCAGCCCACATGTGTGCTGGCCTTGTGGACGTGCTCCTTGCTCTTCCGCTTCGCACGTGGCCAGAGTGCAGTAGGCGGCCGCGCTCCTCGTCCAGTGTCTGAGCTGCTTTCCCCTTCATGTTTTTAGTGTCAGGTTAGCCTTGGGGTTTCCTATTCATGGTTTAAAGAAAAAGCACTGAGCACTGTAGACATACAAGCCGAGCACCGAGCTCCGTAGACGTCCAGGCCGAGCACTGAGCACCGTGGACATCCAGGCCGAGCGCTGAGCACCATAGACGTCCAGGCCGAGCACCGAGCACCGTAGATGTCCAGGCAGAGCACCGAGCACCGTAGACGTCCAGGCCGAGCGCCGAGCACCATAGACGTCCGGGCAGAGCACCGAGCACCATAGATGTCCAGACAGAGCGCCGAGCACCATAGACGTCCGGGCAGAGCACCGAGCACCATAGACGTCCAGGCCGAGCACCATAGACGTCCAGGCCGAGCACCGAGTACCGTAGACGTCCAGGCAGAGCACCGAGCTCCGTAGACGTCCAGGCAGAGCACCGAGCTCCGTAGACGTCCAGGCAGAGCACCGAGCACCGTAGACGTCCAGGCAGAGCACCGAGCACCGTAGACGTCCAGGCTGAGCACCGAGCACCGTAGATGCCCAGGCAGAGCGCCGAGCACCATAGATGTCCAGGCAGATCGCCGAGCACCGTAGACGTCCAGGCCGAGCGCCGAGCACCATAGATGTCCAGGCCGAGCACCGTAGATGTCCAGGCCGAGCACCGAGCACCATAGACATCCAGGCTGAGCACCGAGCACCGTAGATGTCCAGGCCGAGCACCGAGCACTGCAGACGTCCAGGGCGAGCAGTGCCTTGGCAGAGCCTGTTCCATGGCAGCTATTTGTGTAGTATGATGCCCAGGATTCGGGCTGAGTGTGGCCTGCCCGACAACAGAGTGCGTTTACGTGTGCAGAGCCTAGCAAGCCCCGAGCCATCCTCGCCAGGTAGGCTCTGTCACCTGGAAAAGCACGTGAAACATAACTGGGATTTCGAGCTGCAGGGATGTCACCTGGGGAGGTGATGGCAGCAGAAGTAAGGACATACTGTAGGAAGTGTGGAGGGGTCAGGGACCTTTCGGACAGAGCTGCCAGCGCGTCGTAGGGTGGTTTTAGCCTCTGGAAACAGCTGTCTTCGTCCGTCATTGTGTCTCTAACATAAAACTGAGCTTTGGGTCGTTGGTAAAGAAGTGAGAGTTTTCCTGAGCTTGTAGTCCTGGTGGCTGGGAACTCCAGCATGAGGCTGTCCAGCAGCATGACCGACGGGAGCAGGGAGGGCCGCCGTCTCTAACAGCCCGCTCTGGTGACGGCTGTCCCCTTCTCACGAGAGCTGCAACCATCGCAAGGCGTTAAGGAGACTAGAGCCCCCACGATCTGATGACGACCTAGTCACTGCCCACCAGGATCAGGTTCCAAAACAGGAGCCTTTAGGGGTCAGAGCATTTCCCAGACCATAACATTTATTGATTTATTTTCTTCCGTATTTGTAGAGTAGCTCTCATTCGCGTTTTCTGAAGCTTGCCATTCGTATCTTCCCTCTGTAGAGGGAGAGGCCATACTCTGTCTGGAGGTTTCCTATGCTTATGGTAGCGGTAGTTGGTGTTTATGAACTGTTGACTGCGACCGGCCATATTCAGAACAGTTTATGGTATTGAATTTCCGTTCTGTCCTCACAGTAGCTTCGTGAAGTAGATCCCGTTGTGGTCTCCGGAGTAGGTGAGGAAAGCGAGGCACGCAGACTAGTTCTGTCCTTGCCGAGACTCAGGCGGGCCTGCGTGGTGCACTGTCCCTCGCGGGCTGTCCAGTGCTGTGCGCGGTAACTACGGAGAGCACCTCGACTGTGCGTTCCCTGCAGGCCCCTCTCAGGAGAGTGTGACCCCGCCCTCTGGCCACACACCCGGGCTGGAGAAGTGCCTTTACGTCACTGTCACCGGGAAAGGGCTCCTTGTACTGGCCGTATCCACGCAGCTGTTCCATTAGTGCCAAAAACTCAAGACCAAGAATAGGAATTTTTAAAAGCTGTTGATCGTGTCCACGAGGCCCACTTCTGGGCTGCTCTCAAACCCTGAGGCAGCAGCCACAGTGAGAGACGAAGAGACAGTCCTTGGTGAGCAAAGCCAGGGAGGACTCTCCACCTCTAGCAGTCAGAGCCCAGTGCAAACCCCCTTGGCCTCCTCCTGCTTAGGGAACCCGTCTGATTGGAGGGCGACTCAGTCGGGAAAGGAACCCAGTATTGACACCAGCTCGGCCGGATCAGCACAGCCCGAGCCTTGGGAGGGAGAAGCCCTTCACAGAGACCCTACCCCTCCGGTCCTCATGGCCCTTCTTCAGGAGCTGCTCCTTTGCTAAGCCCTCCGAGCAGCCCTTGAGGAACTGTTTCCTGGGTCAGAGGACGGGTGCTTCCCACCTTCCAAACCACAGACAGCCTGGTCACAGCCGTGGGCAGGGGCGCAGCCTTTCAGATGCCTCATTGCGTAACAGCCTACCTTGGCCTGCTCTGCACATGCAGACCGCATTCTCCTGCTATCTGTGTGCCGCTCCATTCTCTCCCGGAGAGCAGACTGAGATATCCCCTGTAGACCGCACCGGCCAGCTCGGAAGTGGACGGGCAGCCCGAGGCACCGGGGAGTTACTGACAGGGTGTCTTCTCCTTCAGCCTCAGGTTCTGCAGGAAAAGGGAGCCGGCTGCCAGACCTGGGGTCCGACTACAAGCCTCCGATGAGCGGTAAAGTCCTTCCCTCGCTGCGGCCTGCTGCGGACATGGGCACTTTGACCTGAAATCACACCCTGCCCCCTGTAGCCCGTGTGCAGTGAGCTGGAGTGTGCCCACCCACCTTTATTTGCATTGTTTTCATTTTGCTCCCGGGCCTGTGTGTGCTCGCCAGACAGAGAGAGAGAGACCAGCCCCGGGGCACGGCCATGCACAGTCCCTTCTCTTCCACTCTCCTCTTGGGATTTTGGGCATGCATGCACACACACACACGTGCCCAGCCCGTCTTCCAAGCTGCTGTGTCTGGGACTAGAACCACAGTCAGCCGTTTGGGATCCAGCCACCTTAACCTCCATACCACCAGGCTAGCCCCACCTCTTTTTTTCGTTTTTCTTTCCTCCTTCTCTTTAATCTAACAGATCTTGCTGCAGGTGCTTTCTGGAAAGTGCTTGCCAAATTACAGCAAGCTCGTGCGTTATGGGGTGCAGTACCCACATGCCCAACTGCAGACAGGACCTGTTCCTACATGAGTCTTCCTGTGGCCCAGCACCTCTAGAAAGAGAAGTTTGCTTTCAGAAACGAGCCCTCTGGGCTTCCTCCAGTATGCAGTACGAAGCCATTGTTTTATCGAAGGTCAATGTGTTTGGTGTCAGTGATCTGTCCACTTGTCTTTTTCTCAGAATGGAAGGATAAGAGTGATGGAACCAAATATAGAAGATAAGCCCCTAAGCCCTCCTGGATCGGCCTTCGATTAGCGGTGTGCTTAGTGGAGCCTGTGTAGTCACAGAGCCAAAGGGAGGGCTGGCTAACCCAGGCTGGCGGCAGGGACCCCACAGAGACGGCAGGTTTGGCTTAGATCGTAACGTGTAAGCTGGGTTTTCTGTAAGTCACCCTAGCTGACTTTTTTCTAAGACGCAGATTCCCAGGCTGTCCCTCGGTGGTAGGAATTTCTTCCACCATACTCCATGCCAGTAAAATGCATGTTCTAAAGGACGAGGTGAATATCCCCACACCAGTGCCTGGGCCTGGGAGTGTCTGGATTTCAGATGGTGTCAACTTTGGAGTATCTGCAGATACGCAGATATCCTGGGGGTGGGACCCAATCGGAAACCCAAGTTCACTTATGTCTCACATACACCGCACACCTAGCCTGAAGGCAGTCTCACACAGTGTTCTGGTTTTGCCGCATTTTGACTGAGATCCATCACATGCAGTCGGATGTGGAATTCTCCACATGCAGCACCAAATCGGCCCTCAAAGGCTTCAGATTTCAGAGCATTTCAGACTTCAAGTGTTCAGATTAGGGCCGTCTCACCAGCCCTTACTTGGTGGATGAATTCACACCCTGAATCTGTAAGGAACAAAGAGCTTTATTCGCGGTCTTAGGACTCGCAACCCAAAAGAGCATTCTGAAAGACTGAAGGAAGGCAGGCATTTATAAAACCAAAAGCTTTAAATCACTGCAAAGCAACTAAAATTCTTCAGAAAGAGCTTCTGCCGGCGTTGCAAAGGGCGGGAAGGCCTCCTGAGCTGCCCAGGCCATGAGCAAGGTTAGGGGAAGGAAAACGCCATTGGGGAGAGTTCAGGGAGTCCTGCCCCCACCCCCCGAGCCACTCCAGGCATCCTGCTCCAGATGTTTTGGGCAAGGGTGGAGTGGACCAGAGCTCGCGCCAGCGGGCAGTCGCAAGAACGCACAGCAGTCCTGCCTCAAAGGCCCCCTGGCTCCATCCTGGAAAGGGATGTGCGTGTAGCTCTCAGAGCCTCTAATGACCAAAGACTCGTCACTGGCAGGCAGACCACCCCGAATCGGCAGCTCTGATGGGCAGGCAGACCACCCCGAATCGGCAGCTCTGATGGGCAGAGAGGAGGACCGCCATAGAAGGGAGCTGCAGTGGGAAAGTACTGATAGGGAGGAGAGGGAAGTCGGGATTTTTTCAAGGTTCTAAGTGATCTGGCCTTGTCCACTTCTCCCTCCTCCTCTTCCCCTCACCCCCCTCCCTCCCTCTCATCCTCCCTTCCTTCCCTCTAACTTCCCTCTCTGTGTGGTCACGGAACACAGGCTGCTCTCCCTGCCATGAACAGCCATGTGGGATCCAGCTCCTTTCACCGCTGGACTATGGTATCTGCCCAGTAATATGTTTTTTTCTTTCTTTTGAAGAGGTTTTCTTTTGCTATAGGGCGCGTGTGCTTGCTAGAAAGACAGAGACAGAGAGAGGGCCAGCAGGTGTGCCGTTTCTCGCCCGCAGGCAGCAACAGCCCTCACGGGAGCCCCACGTCCCCCCTGGACAGCAACATGCTGCTGGTGGTCATCGTCTCGGCGGTCGCCACCGTCGTGGTGGTCGTGACGGTGGCCGTCCTCTGCACCCGGCGCACCACTTCTCACCAGAAAAAGTAAGAAGCCCCACACGCCGCAGGCGCTCGGTGGCACTGCCTTCGCTTCTGCGTGACTTCCGTGTGTAGAAAGTCCACCGCGTTGATCAGTACGCCAGGGACAGTTCCAGGGCCGGCCAGTGGCACAGAGGTTAAGGCAGCTGGATCCCACGTGGCCCACCGCAGTGCCAGTCAGGACCCAGTGGCTTGGCAATCATGCCAGGCGTGTGTGTGTGCCCAAATTCCTGAGAGGAGAGTGAGAGCGGATTGTGGCGTGGCCAACCCCCGGGGGGGATTTCTCACTTTCCCTCTCTGTGTCACTCTCTCCAGCGAGCACACATGTCCCATGCAAAAATCTAAAAATGGAAAAGCCTCAAGGATGACATTCTCCCCATTCTTGAATTTTCTTCAAGCTCCTTTATTTGACTTTTCACTTTTATTTATATTTATGACCTTGATTTCATATCTAGTTTCAGAAACCTTGAGATAGTTTTATTTCTTAAAAATCTAAAAACCAGGAAGATGGAGAATTTGTCAGTGCTTTAGGAGAATTCGAACTTGAAGTAATTAAAGGTGTCGGCCCTTAGCCCGAGAGCGGGAAGAAGAGCTGGCAGTAGGTGCCGTCCTCCTGCAGGGCCTGCAGTCGGTGTTCCATGGTTTAAGTCAGCATACGGAGCGTCATAGGGTCCCCCCACTGGAAAAGAGAAGTGAGCTTTTCTGAGTGCCTTTCTCCCGCTCTGTGCCTCCGCTCAGGGTCGCTGTCACAGAGTCCTGCACCCCAGGGCCAGGTCACGTAGAGCGTAACCCACTGGCTCTCAGACGGCCCTTTAGCCCCTCGCTCCCCGGAGCTGGCCTGTGCTCCTCATCGGCAGAGCCCGCCCGCCCGGCCTGTGTGCCCTTGCCGTGGAAGCTGCCCAGGCCTTCGCCATCCAGATCTCAGCTCTCACATCTCGGGGGTTGTGCTGAGACCCCACACTGCAGCCCAGCCGACCTCTCACCCCTCTGCTCTGTCCCTCCAGCATTTCAGGGAGCTCTGGCTTCTCCTGCCTTTAGAAATAAGTGGGAGACAGCCTGTCCTCCTGCTGGCCCTAGCCGCCCCGGCATGGACAGACCTGTCTTCCCCTTCACCTCAGCCCAGAGTCCTCGTTCATGCTCTCATGTCTGCTCCCCACGGCTGGCCCTTGCTCTCGCTCTCCTGGGTCCTGACGCTGCCCCGCCACCCCACCACCATCACTCTGACTGAGGTCACCAGGGGCCTCCTAGCTGCCGAGCCAGAGCCCCGGTCTCAGTGTGCCTTGTGCCCCATCCCTTGGCACTGTTCACAAGCCCCGTGTGCTGGGGCAGTGGGCCCATTCCGGCCGCCCTCCTCCCCGTGTGCTGGGGCAGTGGGCTCATTCCGGCCGCCCTCCTCCCCGTGCAGCTGGCCAATGCAGAAACTGGGAGTGTCTGGGAGGCTCGTTTAGGTCAGCACACCCAAACGGGGCCCTCATCTCTGCAGCCAAAGCTGCTTCCACCCCGCTGTTCCTGTGCTGAGAGTGGCGTGGGCCTGGACCCCTGGCTGCATCCCTCACTGTTCTCTCTCCTTTTCTGCCCCCGCCTGCCCTCTCCCCTTGGCTCACAAAACCTGTCATTCCTGCCTGCCAAGCTCTTCCTGCC